AGGGATGAGGAGCTAGGGGTGGGGCTGAAGAGGGAGGGAGGAAGAGAGGGAGGAAGAACAAGAATCTCATAAGAATTCTGCCTCTAACTGCTGACTTTGGAAAAACTTAACCACTCTAGTCGGAGGCACCACGAGACAACGATGAAGGGCACAGGTCCTGGGTTCAAATCCTGACTCCAGCACTTGCTAACTGACCTGTCGGCCTCAGCAGGTTCTGAGGAGTGAAGGGCCGTGCCTGACACAGGGCCAGGACTATTGTGCTCTGTGTAAAATGAGAGGCCTGGGCTGTGAAATGGGTTTTAAGCTGCTCTAGCCGAATCTGAGCTCCCACAATCATGCTAACGGCATACTTAGTGGGAATATTGTTTTTGCAAACACTCACACGGAAAGCAGCCCCCCTCTCTCATTTCCTCAAGTCCTCCCTAGTGTCCAGGGGAGGGGGTGGATCGGGGCCACAGCTAAAGAGGACCAAGCCCAGCCCACGCCCACACACTGCAGCTGCTCCAGCCATCGGGCCGTGTGTGTCCCCTGGGTGAGGACGGAAGCTTAGTTACCTCCTGCTGCTGACAAAGGAGGAGCATTCTGGCAGCCAGAATGCCTTCCAGGGAGAGGTTGCCAAGATCATATAACCAGGGCTTGGGAAGAAACTCAAGGTGTGGCCCGGGACCCGGAGGCGCTTGGGCGGGCCCGACAGTAGATGGCGGCAACAGGCTTCAGCGGCAAAGCTGAGCCCCTGGATGGCTGGGAGGCGCCCTGAGTGCCCTGGGTGGGCTGCAGACTTTGGTTTGGGCTTTAGGGAGATCGTCTGTTTCAGGTTCAAAGGCGTTGAGGTCATTCAGCCCAACCCCTTGACCAAGAAGGGTCTCTGGAGGTGAAACACAATCAGAACCAAAGCCACTGTCACTCATCTTCCCAGCTGGGGCTCCTCCACTCTGGCATGATTTCTGTCTCTCCTTTTCGTCCTAGGGTTTGGCAAAACTTCCAGAATTTCCACCAGAACTATTCTCCCCTCTACCGCTCCCACTTTCACTGGGGCAGTAAGAGAATGAAGCCCCTCAAAACAGCGCCAACCGTCAAAACCAAGGCTTTCAAAGGCCATTGCTAGCTCCTGTCCTGTCCCCAAGGAGGACCACCCTGCAGTCACTCCTCTCCCAACATTCAGTCCTGGGCCCCGCCCCAGCAAAGCACAGAGAACTTGCTCTACGGGCCTGACACCAGGAGGAACGCCCTGGCTCGCCCCAAACCCGGTGTTTCCAATTCCTCTTCTCCTGCCACCCCGCCATCCCCATGGGAGGGGCCTTTGATGACTGGAGACAAGAGGGCTGCAGATGAGGGCCCCTTCTGCTCTCAGCACGGCTCTGACCTTCTGAAGTAAGAGAGTCAACGGGGGAGGCCACTGCCTTGTTGGCACGAACATTTACTGCAAACGCTGAAAATAGCCCGTGTGGCCTGAGCAACACAAGATCCTTCCTGGGGCACAAGCAATTTCCAGCTAAAGTTGTCCTGAAACCGTGAGGATGGGAGGTCCTCCAGCAGCAAGGGAAAGAGTTAGCAACAGAAACACCTCCCCGCTGTCCTTAGGTGTGTGGTTGTCTCCTTGCATCCTCCCCAAACACAGTGTCCCCCTCACTCTGCCTCCAGCCTTTCCCATGTCCTCCTCACACCTTCCCTTCCCTCCTAGGATCTGACCTGTCCCTCACAGGCTCCCATTCACACCTGACAGCCATGCCCTCACGCTCCAGGAGGGTCTTTCCCAGGATCAGCTCCGTGTCTCCCTGAGCCTGATTTCATTCCCCGTGTTTCCTCGTTGCTGTCACTGTGCTAAGAGGCTCCGCAAGCCTGCCCCTCCTCACCTCGGCTGGCGCTCTCTGTGTTCGATTAGTCAGGCCTCTTCCTTTTCTCCCAGGTGCCAGGCGAGTGCCCACTCTACCCAAAGGCGAGTTGTGTGAATGCCATGCCTAAGGGATCTCTATGTGGGTGGAGCAGAGGAAGCTGCCTGGCCCCACAAGCTGCCTACCAGCCAGGCATCCTCTGTGAGATGCCCATGTGGATGCAACATGTAGCCTCATTTCACTTTTCTGCCAATTGCTATGGATCAAGTAGGAGTTGGCATGAGCCCAACGGGGTTCTCCAAAAAGGAAGGTGGGATCTTGGAATTTCAGGGCCACAGGCAGACCTGGAGACCACTGGGGTCAGCTCCCACGAGCGAGGACACAATTGGTGTGCACCCAGTCACAGCTTTTACATTAGGCAGCTGTGGGTGTGCCTGTGGCGAGTTAAAGGAGGAACTGGATTCACGTGTTCCTCAGAATCAAATCACGGGGGCATGGTTGATGACACGCATCATTTCAAAGCTTCAAGAAATGTTCTTTCTGATCCTTAGGCCAAGAATAAGACAAAACAATGCAATAAAGATCCATTGCATTTGTTAAATATTAAATAAGGATTAGATGTTTACAGGATACGGAGCATGGGGTGGAGCAACAACAAAACCAGAATAGATACTTGCTGGGTCACTTCGGGCCTCCAGACCAGGAAGTCCTAGGAACGCGATTTTCACTCAGTTTAAGGAACTCCAGCGCTTAGAGCTGTCCAGCAAAGGGGGATGAGGCACTGCCCTTTCCCTTCTGAAAATTTTAAGGAGCTAGATGTTCCAACCATCTGATATGGGGTAAAAATTAGGCTTCTGCCTATTGTAGGAGCAGGGGTGAGTCCATCCCCCAAGATCACTCCCGAATTTGGAGTTCTGTGAATGAGATGAAGGGTGGACGGGATTGGCGCCCTCTCCTCTGGTTTTTGCCCACTCTAGGCTCTGCCGGGGCTGCAGCCAAGCACCTTCCTTCCTGAGTGTCCGCCCGCACAGTCTCTGCAGCACTCCCCGTGGCCCAGCACAACCTGAAATCCCCAGGGCCACCAGCGCCAAGCCAACAAGGGGGTCCCCATGAGACCCAGTCACAAGGCTTGGAGCTGGACGGGCCTGATCTGGCCCCCGCAGGGAAGCGGGGGAGGCCAACAAGGGCCCAGGAAGTGGTTGCTGTACTCTGCAGAGGGCTTGGCCTGCGCTCTCCTCAGATAGCTTCCCGGCCGGTTCTCAGGATGTGATCCGGTCTGGGTTGGTCCTTCGTGGCCTTGTGCCAAGTCCCAGGGCAGTTTAGCGCCCCCATCCAATGAGAAAGCTTGGGGCCCCTCCGGCCAGGGCAGCGGCGCGGAGGTCCTGCAGCTGCGGACAGCATTCCGCCCCCACCCCATTCTTCAGATTCTGGTGGAATCTGATCTGCCTCTGAGGGTGGAAAAAAAATAACCCTGACATTGCAGTGTTGTCAAAGACTAGTGGCTGAAAGCCAGCGAAACTCCCGCAACTAAGAGACTTGCCCACTGCTTTTGGAAGGCAGAGCAGAAAGTAGGAACCAGAACAGCAGTTTGTAAATCGCACCTCAAAACTCCAGGGGAGAGCACGCAGCGCCTCTTCTCCTGTGTAAAGGTGCAGTATCACGCGAGACACCACAAAGGGTTGAAGTCACAATGGTTTACACCCCAAGAAGTGCAGGGGTTAGGCATTGCTTGTTAGTTTTAACCTGCTCAGAACCAAATTAAGATTTGTATTCCCTTCATAAGATACCACCATTATCAATTGAATCATGGTTTCCCCAGCTCACATCTATGGGATCTGGAAAGCGTAAACATTTAAAGCTAACGTAGGAGTTCCCTGGATCTTGAAAATCATCCTTGCTCCTGCGTAACCGTTCCTCCAGGGCAATTTTACAGGCATTCTGCCTGCTTGACACACTGGCTGATTACATTTCAAACTTCTCCTCCCAACGTCCTGCATTTCTGAGGGAAATGCCTCGCTTCATCAGACAAGCTGAGTCCTGCCATGCTGCTCGTCTTGTTGACGAGGGGGAAAAAAAAAAAAAAAGAAAACACCAGTATCTATGTTGAAATGGGCCACACCTCTGCAGACACTCAACCAAAATGCTAGCCTAAAAAAAAAAACAAAAGCAACGAAAAAAGGCGCCCCTCGTGTCTCCAGATTCCCTCCGTGATCAGCGTGCATGTTGGCGTTTGCACAACTGCGTTTGGAGAGAGTGAGAAGATAGATGCAGCTCCCAGGCAGCCACCGCCTTCCACGCAGAAACATTGCACGAGCACTTTTTAAAAATTCTTGTATCTTTTCTGATCGGCCCTCTTTGCACTCAGCACTGAAACCCGGCTGTCTCTAGGGTGAAAGCAGAGAGCCAATCAATAATTTCCTACAGGAACAGACAGAGGCCCCGTGCCCCACCCTCTGCTCCAGATCCAGCTGCCCTCCCGCCTCCCCCCAGCCTCCACATCTGCCCAGAAGAGAAGGCGCCTGGAATCCACATCAGTCTCCTGAGCCCCTCCCACGTTTTATGTGAAATACCATTTGCCTCTTTCTCTAACGGTTTTTTTTAAACAACCCAATCCCCTCTTCCCAGCCCACAAGGGAGAAACAAATACTTCCATTGACACAGAAGTGAATGGGCAAGCGAAAGGGTAGTAAAAGCAACGGCAACAGCAAACTGTAAGCCAGGTACGTGCCCACTGGCATCCAAAAACAACCACCCACAGGACAACAAACCAATAAGCAAAGAAACAATTCAAGTCCCGAAGCAATCTGAATCCAAACGGAGGCGTCAGACACAGCATGTGGCAAGTTCACTGTCACTTCCGAGGTACACAGCAGTTTCTCCATAAAGAATATCCAATGTCCCTGCTCCGTCTACACATTGAGAGCAAGAATCTAATTATGGCATCACATGTTACAGCTGGGTCCTGGTGATGACCCCCCCCCTTCCCCCCGGCCCCTCCTCAACATCCACTTTTCTCTACTTTATGGAAAATTGATCTCAGTCTCCACTTTTAGCTGCAAGTTGCAAGGATTTCATTCTTAGAGAACTGTAGGAAAACAGCAAAGGAGAAAAAAGCAAAAGTCAAGGTCAGAAAAAGGAGTTTGGTCCCAGCGTTAGGAGCTGTCCTACCTTGAGGGTCCCAGCGACAGAGGTGCCCGGAGTGGCAGGAGCTGCTGGCCGCTTGGTCCGCTCTACCGGAGGTATGTGACTGCAATGAGGGGAGGGCCCTGCGTCCCGAGGTTATAAGTTTCCTCGGCTGGTGAGCTGGGGTGTGTGCTGGGCGGCTTCTTCTCACTGGTGTTTTAAAGGAGTTTCTATGAATCAGTCTGGCTTTAAAAAAAAAAAAAAGATTTGTTGGTAAGCTACGCCCTGCTAAATTGGCAGTCAGTCAAGAGTGGCTGGGAGTGAGCCATCAATTCAGAGAACCCTGTTGTAGGCTCTCTCTGACTCAGAGACTCAGACCACAGTGGAAAAAGGAGTGACATTGCTTCAAATGAGTAATAGGAGTCACACAAATAGTTCTGTTTACCGAAGCCCATTCCTCCTACCCAGAAAGGAGGCTTGGTTACCATGGACATGAGGCCAAACACAGGTCTCAGCTGGGGATGAGGAGGGCGGCAAGGACAGCCCCCTGCTAATTGCAGCCCTAGCTAATCATCAGCCTGGATTCCCATTCTTCCTCCTCCGTCAAATGCATCAGTGGCTGCTCATGGTCAGGAATCATCAGATTTATCTCTTATTGAGGCCCTCCTGACCCTTGGGCACTGCCCTGTGGGTGGCAGCTTAGTGAGGCCCTGGAAGCAAAAGGGTACCCACCAAGAGCCCTGGTAGTCCCACCTCTGAGGCACGGGGCACTGATGGCAGGGCAGACAATGCCTGCTCTTTAATTATGCTCTGCAAGGGCCCGATCGACTGTCCACACTCCAGGAGGAAGTCCTCCAGTTAAGAACTTTGCTCTGGGAGCTCCATAATTAGCTGGACCTTGTTCCACAATTGACTTTCTTGAACTCGGCCAGTAGAGTAATCATCATCCCTGCCTCTTTGCACCACTTCTCTGACACTCAATACTGGTGCTGGGAGGGGCCTTTGAAGTCACTTAATCCCACAGCCCAGGCAGGGGAGGGGCCCCATGCCTGAGTTCAAGCCCGGCTTTCCACTTGTTGGCTGTGTGCCTTTGTGCCAATCCCTTAACCTCTCCATACCCATTTCCTCCTGCATAAAATGAGAGAGTAGGAACCTACGTCATAGAGCTATAATAAGAAATATATATCCATGTATAGGGCCAACACCAGTACACAGAGTGAGCACTCAGTGTTAGCCACAAAGATTGCTTTGCTGGAAAAGAAACTTAGCCCAGAGAGGCAAAGTGACTTATCCAAGGAGACAACAGCAGTGAGCACTAGTAGCTTAGATGCAAGTCTGCCACACCCAAGCAATTCTACTGCTGTGGTTCTCTGCTACATCCTGACCACCTAGCTCCCTTCAAGGTATGCTTTATAGTCATTCATTCAGTCAGTCATTCATTCACTCAACCAATATTTGCTGCAAGCCAGACTTCAACAAGGCCCTGTTCAGAGCTTTGGGTCATAGAAGCAAACAGGATCCCTGCCCTGCTAGAATTTACATATCATAAAAGAATAGAGAATGGTCAGGTGATCAAATGTTGATCAAAACAGGTGGTAAGACAGCAGGTGAATTTTAGTTTCTTTGAGCCACCCTTCTGTATTTTCCAAATGTTCTCCAACAAACCCACATTATTTTGATTTTTAGGAAAAAAATATTTCAACATGAAAATTAAGAATGTTTTCTAGGGAAAACAGCACACACATGCACACACAATGACACATACACACTCACAATGATGGGACACTATGTCTCCTCAAGTCCCTGGGAACTATAGCATATCCCTGTATGAGAAGAAAGTATAGGTTTTTCATTAAAAACTGAAGCTGGGGCCAAAGATTGCATCAGTTTCTCATACATTTCCTCACCCACCCCTTGCCCATCACTCATTTGATGGTAAAACACCTGTCAGTGAGAAGCCACCCCCAGCAGTGGGTTAAGAGCAGGGAGAGCAGGGACCCCTCGGGGCCGTGAGGAGGAGGCGTGCTCCCCTGCCGGAATCCGCCTGGCCCTTTCCTGCTCTTGGGTTGCTTTTCACCTCCCAGGCCTCCTGCCAGTTTGCAACTCTCTCCTCCTCCAGCAGTAGATAAAGGAGTGCTGGGTTCCAAGCAGAGTCCTAAGGTGCCAAAGTGTATGTGGTCTGGCTGCATTTTTTAAAGAGAAACCTGGAGCCATGGAACATTAGGGAGGTGATGGCATTCTCCCTGCCATCCGCTCTTCGGGTTAACAAAGGAGAAACTTTTCTTACAATGCCTGAGTGCTGGATTGGAAACAGAAAGACAGTGGATTGCCGGGCAGTGGTGGTGAGCAGGGTGTGGACGCCTCCATTTCTGCCCCAGAGGGAGTAGACGGCAGTGCCTTCCAAATGGGCTTAATGAATCTTACCTTCCCATGTGTTTTTGGAGATGTGTGGGTTTGGAGAGAAAATGCTAAATTCCATGAGCTTCTAACACACACACACACACACACACACACGGTAGTGCCATATAAAGTTAAGTTGTGTAAACATTTTTTAAAAGATAAATGTTAGTTCAGGATTTCTAAAGGCTCATAATTAACCCTTGAAATATCACTACGCTCATTTTATAAAGCAACATTAGCAAGACCAGGAAAGACACCGGATTGGCTCAGGCTGAAGTTTGGGCTGATTGTGGCTTTGGAAGTGATTAAGACGTGAAGCCTGATTCTTTCCATGGCAGGAAGGGGACAGTTTTGAGACTGTGGACAGTGAAGGGTTTTCAGCAGTCTCAAATCACAGGGGGCTGAGGAACATGGCTCTCCTGGCATCTCTACAGGTCTTCCCTATCAGCCTGAAGTGGTCTGCCTTGCTGGGCTCGTCCTCCCCACTCTGAAGGTAGATTAGCCATATGGGTTCCCATGTGGGCACAGGTTCATGTGCCCTCGGTCAGGCCGTATGCTGTGGGAAGGAAAGTCCCCTCCTGCCCAGAGCAGCAGTGTGGCTGTGGCACAGACATCGTCTCCCCTGCTTCTGAAGCAATGAGAAGTAGCTCCTGGAGTGATGCCATTTGCAACATTTTCAAGTCTGAGCAGGTGCAAACCCTTTTAATGAATGCATGAATCAAGGGCTTTAATGACTGCTACAAGAAGAAGTCTCCTAAGGTAGGTCTGGGCCCCTGCAGCCTCAGGAAACCAATAATAGCTTGAACTTGTTTATGCTTAAACTCAGTCATAAAGAGTACCAGTCTATGTTCCCCATGTGTGGCAGGTGCCATGTTAATATCAGCTAACACTGTCTGAAAGGCAAATTGACTGGAAATGACACAGCCTCTTCCAAAGTCCAGTGAGTATTTCTTCCTTGCCACCCCTCTTTGAAATTTGAGAATCTACCAGACATTTCAAATTCCTCCCCTTTCCTCCTTTCACTGCTTTCTGCTACACCTGTCTGTACTTCTCCCTCTAGCTGTTTTCTTCCTCCATTGATTGTTTACTTTCTTAAATCTTCTCAATAAGATGAACTTTTAATACAGGTGCACAGAATGAGACGTCTCTAATGCCCTCCTTAGTCTCCTCATTTCTTGTGTCTTAGCTAGCTTGACCTGAAATGGCTTTTGAAAGAAAAAAAAAAGATGGCATTCCAAGAATACAGCCCATTGGACTGACACTTGTTGCTGAGCACAAAATGTATTAGCAAGATGGCACACATGGTTATAGAAGCGGCCGTGATGACAACGGCATCTGAACTTGGCAGCAGCAATAACCCTGCCAGGCGGTTCAGCTACCAGTTTGATTCTAATTGTCGTAATCAGTTTCTTTCAGGCAGTTGGGATATGGATGGATAACCAACCAGACTGAAAGAAGAGACCGTCAGAGTTATGTCCACCGTGGATGTGGCTTCAGAGTTAGAGAAGAATAACAGAAACAAGGCAGAAGCACGGTGACCAGAATAAAACGGGAAAAGATCCTCCTTTCTCTACCTAATGTCAACTCGGTATTTGAAGGTGGATAGTAAAGACGTGTTAAATAGATGCCTTTTCTTTTGCACTCTGCCCTTCCTGTTACTGAGTGTTGTTCCTACTGCTTAGTAGATCGTGTCAGGTAAAGCACTGGAGGTCCCCAGGTATTTAAGAGGGATGATCCCTCCCTGTACACTCACTGGGCACAGGCCCAATAAGGAAATGCTGACTGTGTAGCAGGCATTCAATCAGAACCTAGTACATTTAGTCAATGAAATGCCTCATGCACATGTGAAAGAATCTCATGGTCTCCTCCAAGACTTTCCCCTCAAACTCAGATGCTGGACAGAGAACCCCCTAGCTAACTCCCCACAGCTGTGGGAAGACCTGTTCATGCATGTCTTTCTATTTGCCCAAGGACAGTCACCACGGGAGGGGGCACACAGCCAAGCAGTCCAGCCTCGAGATCTGGAAACATACCCTGCACTGGGCCTGCATGTCAGCACAGCACACATGAGCCAGGAATGTGGTAGAACTGATCTTTAAGACCAAGCATTTCAAAGACACGATTATTTCTTGGTGACAACAAATACTAAACAGAGCGATTCAATTATTCAGCATCATTGGAAAACAGTGTATTCTCTTGGTTAAATTTTAGGATAACTGGTCGAAACTCTTCTTATTTACAAAATGAAACAAATCATTTTTCTTTTCTTTAAAAAAACACATTTATTTATTTGAAAGGCAGAGTTACAGAGGGAAGGAGAGACGGAGGGAGGGAGAGACAGAGAGAGAGACAGAGACAGAGATTTTCTATTCACTGGTTTGCTCCCCAAATGGTGCAATAGCCAGGGCTGGGCCAGGCAGGAACCAGGAGCCAGGAGCTTCGTCTAGGTCTCCTAAGTAGGCGTCAGGAGCCAAAGGACTTGGGCCATTTTTGCTGCTTTCTCAGATGCACGGCAGGTGGCAACTTAACCAGCTACGCCACAATGCTGGTCCCTGACTATTTTTAAGCAGCCACATCTACAGAGGTTCAAACAAACCATTCTGTTCTTCCCAACTTTTACTCTTAAAGGAAGACCTTATCTTGAAGTTCCGGGGACATCTTAACCTACCCCTTGCGCTAACAACTTCCATTTGAAGGTCAAAGGCATCACAGCCCCATGCATTCCTCTGGTTTAGGTGCCAAGCAGTGCTTGCCTATTACTGAGAGGAAGCAACTTCAAAC